ATTACAACATAATTTCCATGACAGTTAAACACACGTTACCTAAATAATTAATATTTATTTATGCACAATACATGTATGTATGAATAATACAATAAATATATATTGGTTATGAAGTTATTGAAATATTATGAAAAAAAAAAATATATATAGTATATTTTAATAAAATAGTGTATTTTATTATAAGAGTTATTATATGAGTTTTTTCTTGAAAATATGTCACAATACATGCCATTATTTTCATGCTATAAAAATTAATAATAACACTAATTCGTAATAAATTCAGGCTTCATATTTGCATTATGATCATGAGAATTTTAGTGAAAATATGCTTAATTGTAATTATAAATAATATGTGTGTGTACTGTATATATATATATATATATAAACCTTTTTTAGTTCATATGTTTAAAAAACTTTTAAAATAAGGAATATTTTTATAAAGGCATTCTCTGAAGTACTTAATCATTATAGTCTATGAATATGCTATTTGTTTATTACTATGTCACATATAACAATATCAATGCCATCAGTGAACTGCCACAGATGTTTTACTTTTATTATAGAGATTCACGTGTGTGTGTGTGTAATCATTCTGGTTCGGTCTTGTGTCGTGTTTGCAGGCAGATCTGAGCATCAACCTCCAGGACGACAGCAGCTTCTTCTACGGCGTATCCAGTCAGTATGAGAGCTCGGAAAATATGATCATCACCTCCTCCACTAAAGTCTGCTCGTTTGGGAAACAGGTGGTGGAGAAGGTGGAGGTAGGAATAAATGTGACCTGTCACAACTTATTTACACCACGGGTCCATCTGATTGTTTTAAAGGCCGTATCAAATGACATTAGTGGTCAAAACAGGAGAAAGATCCCCTCCGTATGCAAATATATCACCATATTAAGTCATCATAATTGTGTTAGGGCATGTGTGTGTGACTGGTGTTCAGTTTGAGGTAACAATAATCATCTGTGTGTTGTTCAGACGGAGTACGCACGCTTTGAGAACGGCAGATACGTGTTCAGGATCCATCGATCGCCGCTGTGTGAATACATGATCAACTTCATCCATAAACTCAAACATCTACCAGAGAAATACATGATGAACAGCGTACTTGAAAACTTCACCATTCTGCAGGTAGATGTGTGTTTCCTTACAACAGCATCACTTGCATTACAAATCAGACACTTACAACGCTAACCAGAGAATCTGCCACACTAACTAACTACGACTAGTTACTACTAGTTATAAACTGAATACAATGATTTTGCTGTTGATATCAAATGTAGACATACTGTAGTAAGTTTAATAGATTTCAGTGAATCAATTCAAACGGTCTGTTCAAGTGAATCAGTTCAAGATTCATTTGCATCATCAAACTCTATTTTGTTTCCTTTTTTATTATTAAATTTGGCATTTTTCATGTACTTAAATATTTTAGCAAAATGTATACATATGCATGTGTTTGTAGGTATATACAGTGGGTACGGAAAGTATTCAGACCCCCTTAAATTTTTCACTCTTTGTTATATTGCAGCCATTTGCTAAAATCATTTAAGTTAATTTTTTTTCCTCATTAATGTACACACAGCACCCCATATTGACAGAAAAACACAGAATTGTTGACATCTTTGCAGATTTATTAAAAAAGAAAAACTGAAAAATGCTCAGTATTTAGTAGAAGCACCCATTTGATCTAATACAGCCATGAGTCTTTTTAGGAAAGATGCAACAAGTTTTTCACACATGGATTTGGGGATCCTCTGCCATTCCTCCTTGCAAATCCTCTCCAGTTCTGTCAGGTTGGACGGTAAACGTTGGTGGACAGCCATTTTTAGGTCTCTCCAGAGATGCTCAATTGGGTTTAAGTCAGGGCTCTGGCCGGGCCATTCAAGAACAGTCACAGAGTTAGTGTGTGTGTGTGTGTGTGTGTGTGTGTGTGTGTGTTTGTGCGTGTGTGTGTGTGTTTGTGTGTGTGTGTGTGTGTGTGCTTAAAGTGAGGCAACATTTGTCATGTTTTTTGAATGATTCTAAACTAAAATATTACCCTGGATCAGATATACTTCATAAACCATAAAATTTTCTGTCAAAGGTTTTGTAGGAGTCAAATTGAAGTGTTGTTTTGTGTTTTAATGTTTTGTGAGTTGTGTTAAATCAAAATCAAAAACTCAATTAATTTTTAACGCGCATTCTTGTGTCTTATTTGAACAGTTCATGGATTCATCCGTTCAAAGTTATTACTAAGAAAATTATTAAGACATTGTTTGTCTTCATAATGCTTCATCAAAATGAAAAGCTCTCTCTGATTTGAGACACTTTCCACCATCCAATCAATTCCCAGTGGATGAAATGTGAGCCTGGAGCACAAAAGCAGCCTTAAGTCGCTGGGGTATATTTGTAGCAATAGCCAACAATACATTGTATGGGTCAAAATTATAGATTTTTTTTTTATGCCAAAAATCATTAGGATATTAAGTAAAGATCATGTTCCATGAAGATATTT